CCCTGAAAGTGACGAAGGTTGGCGATCAAGAACCCCAGCAAGCCACATCTCGACCAGGAGAACCACACAGCAAGTTCCAAAGCAGAATGGACAAAGGATCGTTATTTCTCAAGATTTGATGGATGTTCAATGGCTGAACCGCACGCTATGGCTATGACACTCCCATCATCTCCCATCTATTCCACACTTTTCCACCTTCACTCCCAACCAAAAATTGCTATTAACATCTATTAGCACAAAAAAGTCAGGCAACGCCCTGCGCATCCCTGCGCCACTTCAAGGCCTCCCATCCCTTGCACGCAGCATTTCAAGCAAAAACGTGTCTACTCAGAGGTTCGATGGCACCAGCTCGGCAAGAGGCACTGGACTTGGACACAAGAAACCCTCATCTGCCTAGGAAAATCGGTTCTGTGCCAGAAAAGAACCTCTGAAGCCAACCCACAACCAATCACCAACCAGAACCACCAACCAACCACCAACCAACAAACCGCCGGTCGAACCATCTGTCTGCCCCAGCCGCTGGATGCGGCTGTTGACGGAGCACACAGACTTCCACAAGGCGAGTTCTCGCTTTCCCAACGCACCGCTGCCCCACAAGTCCTCGAATAACCAGGCGGTTCTGTGTGTTGTGTGTGTGTGTGTGTGTTATGAATAGGATTGAATAGGGAGAACCCCTATAGTTGGACCATCCAGGTCTCAGCCAGGTCTCATGAAATGCCAGGTCTACCGAACCCGGCGGTCAGAACGCCACGCCCGGTGTCAGTCGGATCGAAAAACGGGTCGGGCGACGTGTCCGGGAGTGGCTCTGTGGATCAAGATGGAACCGGATTGGGGACTGGGAGTGGCTTTCAAATACTATGCAAAACCATAGACCGTCTTGGGTTGGGTGTGAAACTCTGCGGTTCCGAGTCAGCTGTTCAGGTCGAGAATCCAAGTGTGCTTGCTGAGTACGGAACCCTACCCGTCACGGAGGGCGACATACGGTCTCTAATCTCAATAACAGCAACCACAAAACGGAAAAGAACAACTTGCATCCTCAGAACCTCAGGAGGTACTGGTTGTTTAACTCTTTGCGCCCAAGAAAGAAGGTCTCTGAAAGCGAAAACCAAAGCCGCCAAACCTCAGGCTGCTTTCTTTTGCCAGCCAGGCGGCCCTGAACCGAACCTCATAGCCGAGCAACAATGAGATCTTCCGGAGCGAACAGAAACAACAATGGGCAAAGACTCCTCAGGCTGCAAGGGTTGCGATGCATGGGTCAATTGCAGGCAACTCTGGCTGAGTGTCTGCAAACCAAGGCAAACCTAGGTGTCTGAGTGTCTGCTACACAAAAGCTGTAATGAAAAACAAATGACTTGGGGTCAGTAGGGAACCAGTGGCAAGTGGCAAGGCCAAAGCAAATCCGACCGTACTGCACCAGATTGCACATCTCGCTACGATTCCCATGTCTTCCCTTGTATTAACTACCAAACCGCCAACAATCACAGCTAGTAACCAAGCCCCAAAAAACAAGCATTCAGGACTTTTGCTCCCAAATCTGTCTATCATCTTCCCCAACTATAATGAGTTATGTTTAAATGAGAACATATTATCCCCCACCTTTGGCCCGGATATTTTTGGCCAGAAGTTCTGTCTGCATCCGGCCGGGCCCCCAACTCTGCTGAGTGTCGGCCCCCGCCCGCCGAGCACATGAATCAAGCCCTGTCGGAAGTCGTCCGCCGCTCGCTCAGCCTCTGGGCCTCGCGAAGCGAGGCCACGGCCAGGGGGGCGGGTGCGATGGGTACTGCCCGCAGCGCCAGGTGCGAACGGGTAGGGACCACACATGGAGTGATTCCCTGAGCTGGACACTGTCCACCTATTGGATTTGAGTGGGGATACCTAATCCCCCCTAGCCAGTTGACTGGGTAGATTGGGTCCTTGAAGATCAACCCCCATGATTATGAGAGTTTTGGGGAGCCAGGGGGGCAAGGACTTCAAATCCTCAAATAGTGGTGTCTGCTTTTTGTCCCCTTCCATAATCAGTTTGTTGCCACTCATAACTATCATTTACCTATCACTTCTTTATCAACCTTTACTAGCAGCCGCTTTGAATAAGAACACTCCTAACTACAACTACTAGACTAGTATACTTCTAAGATCTTCTAAGATTCTACTACTACAGAACTATGCTACAGTACTATGATACCACTACCGATGCAATTACGAACACTACTGCAAAGACTACAACAAGTCATTGTACGTGTACTCAAGACCTCGGCTTCTGGGGCACTCTCCTCCTACTACTCCTCCTCCCTGCTTACATAGAAGAAAGCAAACATTCAAAACGAACAAATAAGCATGAACAAAAAGAGAAACGTACAGGTTAAACATGATAAAACAATGATACGATCATGCTGAGCCCCAAAATGGTTAAAACCTCGAAACATGATAAAAAGCTGATAAAGGCAAACAATGATCAAACAAAGATAAGCAAAGTTTCAAATGACAAAATTGATAAACACATGATAAGACAAAACAAAACCAAACAATCTACACAAACTTGCAACGATTAAGAAACGATGTGGACACAGGGAGCAGCTCAGGTGCAATACAATGCAGGACTGCAGGCAGCTAGCTTGGACCTGAACTCCGCGACTAGACTTATAGACTGCCTGCAAAAAGGCACCTTTGGTCAACTCCCTGCATCTGAAAGGCTGAACGGCTGACACTGCTGTGCTTCGTTTTAGGTCACCGGCACCGTTCTGCGTTCGGTACGGACGACCGATCACGGGCACGTCACATGCCGACCCGACGTACGTAAAGGGGCAACGGACGTGAACGGACGTGGAAACGCCGTAGCTCAACGGAAGACACGACGCTCACACGAAGATGACGGATGTGAGCTATGTTAAACCCACATGAAATCGGGGTCGGGCGAATTCTTCTCCCCACCACTTTGAGGTGAAGGAGCAAAAAGAATGGCCACTCGTGAGTAGGGAGACCTTGGGGCATCGACAAATCGATCCGAAGCGAGGACGCTCTTTGGCCAAAGTGCTGAAGAGCTCCTGCTGCAAGGAATGCCAAAGCCATTGCTCCTCAGGTCCCATCGACGAAACATCGGGAGCGGGCCATCCTGGACGGAACCAGGGAAGGAGATTCACCATGATTCACTCATATATGAGGGAGAAAAAGGTCAAAAACATCGCCCAACAAGCAAAACCAAGTTTCGGGATCCCGAACACTTGAGGCCAACGACCTCCAACGAGGGAAGTGCGCCGTGACCGAAGCAACGACCGAAGCAACGTCACCGAAGCGTCTTCGATCCAGCGGACTGTCCTTATTCTCATCGGTGACCTCGATCTGAGCTCCGCCTGGTGAGCTCCGCACTGGATCCGCAGGTTTCAAGAGAGAGACCGCCCTTGACATGGCCGAACGGACTAGGTGACTAGATGTCCAACCCAGTCTGTCCGAACTAGACTTCGTGTTGTATTGGCTGAAGTAGAGAAGAAAGAGGGAGACCCCCACGCCATGGGTGTTGTGGCTCCCGGCTTTGCTTGTCTTGGCCCGTCAGTTGGGCCGCTGCACCTCCCCCAAAGATAGGTGAGAGGGTCAGGACTGCAACAGCATGGTCTATTTCCCTTCTTGCAGCGGGTCTTGCTGAAACCATATATAAAACCTATAGTGGATGGAGAGATGACACAAACGTCCAAGTTTGGTCGTGTCTGTACATGATGTTCCCAGCTTGTGCTCCAGTTGTAGCTGAGAACTTGGAGTCCTTTTTTGGGGTTTACTGTGCTGGCAAATGAATGCTGCTTGAACGTTGGCTTTTATGTTTTGAACTTGGAATTATTATATACCCTTCCACCAACAGAACATATGCATTGATATATGCATTTGTATGCATATGCCCTTCCACCACCTTGGCTTTTATGCTTTTATATGCATTGACATATCTTCAATTTAAATACCCTTATCCACCTTCCGGCTGCTTAGGCCACCAGGACGCTCCAAACAACGGAGGACTTCGGGAGGTGTGATTGACAGCTTCAGGCTTGCTTTGTTGGCGGGGATGTCTGATTATATATATAGCTAGCGGATGCTAGCGGGCTATGCCCCTCAGTTAGCTAAGAAGTGGCGTAAAACATCGGGATTTGTGATGCCGGGGGCTGGGAACGGCCAAGGGGCCAGGATACAAGCAGAAATTGCCAGAATTGGAATCTTGAGTCTGGAGGTGAAGAAATTCTGTACTGAAAGGTGGTTTGGTGACCAAATTGGATGGTCCTAGTAGCTCAACGAACCATGCTGCACATCCGTGGTATGTGTCTTGGTCCTTCTTTCTGACCATCTTTTTGGGGGGCTCACGGCGTCACCGTCGAACGGCGAACGTCGCAGCATCGACCGTTGTGCGACTTCGCACCCCGCTTTCAACGATCGGGTCCCTTTTTCTCACAAGCATTTCAAACGCTCCTGCAGAGTTTCGTTGTCTCCGCCAAAGGCTGGGTGCCCCCAGCTCACCACAGAACCATCCTGGGTGGAGAGATATTTGGATTTCGAGTTCGTCGAGGTGTAACAGTCATACTTTGTTGTTATGGCACCAGCAATAGACCCAATGACTGGACTCTCAAGCCAAACTGACACAGTGGCTCCAAAAAGAACACAAACCACTCAAGCCACCGCACGGCTGCTTCAAAAGGTCAAACCACCTTTGGTCCAAACAACCTGATTGGAAAACAAACCCTGGAGATTCATTCTGCCCAGAGGCGCATGGACCCTATAGCTATGAGGGTCCAATGAGCCTCTGGGTGCGGGAACATGCTTGTGGACTTCGTAGATTTGCCCGTTGATCTCTCAAACCGCTGGCTTTCTGGAAACTCCTAAGATAGACTCCAACCCCTTCGGGGGGGGGACAGGCTGCTCTTTTTTCAGAAGGTCCATGAGCGTCAGCACCCAACCCAACCCACTGGCCTCTCTACTTTTTGACCACCTTACCTATAAACCCTATAAACCCTGCCCTTACCTCCTGGTTAACGTCGCCAGGTCGCTGCTCTCACCGCAGTGAACGCTCGCTCAGTGCCCTTGACCTCCACCACATCCACCAGCTCACGCTGCGCCCAAACCTCCTCCACCATGCCACCGGACTCCGCGTCGCCCCAGCACACCAGAGAGCCATCGGAGCGCAGCGCCACAAACGCCCAACCGTTGGACTGTGGGGGCGACTCTGTGGACGACTCCGTGGGGCGAGGGCTTTGGCAGAAGAGGGGTTGTGGAAGGGAGAACCGGCCGTTTGATGTGTGTGTGTTCTTCTTTTAAGATATATGATATGTGTATAAATATATGTATATATTATATATTATATAATTGCCCTTTCACAATAATATAGGGAACCCTCATGCACATCATATTTGCTCGATACAGAACAAGAATAATCCGGAGAACTTGGACTTGCACCACCAAAAGCACCATGCAGATGTCTGCAACCAAGATTTTTGGGAACACACAACACCTGACAGAATGTCAAAATGTCACAAAACACATCAACTTAAAGAAACATGGGCAACATGCATCAGTCAGAAATGAAAAGCCCGTGACTCGTCGTCCACCGCTCCAGTACTTCTCAGGAGCAAAGAAAACTTGTCGAACCACTTTACCCCGGCCAGTTCAGTAGCCTTTCAATCAATTGTTTGGCTTTGCAAAATCATCCACTTGTTGCATTGTTTCTTGGTCCTTGAACCCTTCAAACCACAGGACTCTACAAAAGCTTCGTCACCGAAGACCTTCTCTCGGCCGTGGGCGCTGGCCGGCTGGCCGCGCCTCGATGCCCTCCACGTCCACCAGCTGCGCTTGGACTTGCTCCGAGACCACACCGCCCAGATTGGCAGAGCCCCAAGTCACCACGGTGCCTAAAACAAAACGCCCACCACCCGGGTCTTCCCACTGAAACGGTCAAAGTCTGGATGAACACGTGCAACTAACATCAAACTTAGAATATTTATGATTAAATCTATAATCAGCATATATCATGATCTTTCCATCTCTTGCACTGTAACGTTGCCAACTTCGCCATGTGTCCGTCGGAACGCAAGGCTGCAAATGCCCAACTGGTGGACTGGATCAGTTGGATGTTGGTCAACTCCACTCCGCTGCTGTCGCCTCCACCCTCAGGGTCCTCGGTCGCTCCGACCGAGTTCCGTGCGGTCACCCGGTTCCGACATCGGAAGACGCGCCACCGTTCGATGCTGGTTGAACTGGGTACAATTCCAAGCTGTAGCTGAAGAGTCGCTTGAAAACACACCGGAAACGCAGGTCGATTGGTAGAACTGACTAAGGTCTGCCCATCTACTCAATCTTTTCATCCCACTTCTGTCACTGCACGGAAAAACACCAAGCATTGCTCCGTCTCACTCTTCGCCACGCTTCTCCCCAGGTTTCCACGGCCCCATTGCGGTGCAACGCCGCGAAGGCCACGCTGGTGGCCTTCACCGACTGGACGTGGCACAGCTGCTCGGGTGACACGGTGCTGGTCTCAGCGTAGGAGGAGCCAAAGCCTCGGCGCGGCGAAGCTGACCGGTCTTGCCCGAGGGGGGGGACGAGGTAAGGGGTTTCGTCCCAGACGAAAAGCAGGGTCTCAAAAAGGTCGACTTGAAGTGCTCTGATCTGCAGATGATCAGTTTTGATCTGCAAATGAATCTGTTCCAAAGAACTTCATATGGTATCTGGGCAGACAAAGGATCCAAGGAACGTCTTGCGAAATCTGCAGTTGATGCGTACATGCGGTGGTTAATGAACATATAGATGGGACACCCACTACGAGGACCACTGACGCGTCTCCGTTCCCGTTGGACACTTCTAGAAGCTCCAGGTATCCCAAGACCATGGACCAAAGTTAAGTCGAACCGGAAGCGTTCTAAGTGTATTATATGGACCGTTTTCCACTACAACCCATTGAAGCATGTGACTCTCGAGCAAACTATGTGCACTGAAATGTGTGTACCAAAGCTTCCAAAGACCACTAAAGGAGCGCCCACTAAAGGAGTGCCTGGATATTGGAAACCTCTCCCTTTAAAGGGACATTGGATGTCTGGGCTATGAGTCTTCTGCTCCAACATCTAAGTTGATTCACCAAGACACCCCAAGCGGTCACAGTGCCATCCTTCCTCACTGCTGCAAAGGCAGTCTGCGATCCCTCTACACTTTGGACGTTCTCCAGCCGTTCGGTGCCGTTCCCGCCGAAGAAGGGATCGCCCCAACAAATCACTTGGCCATCCGAGCGCAAGGCTGCAAAGGCTTCAAATGTGGAGGAAATCTGCTGCACATGACCTTGAGCTGGTCGCACATGAGAGGGGAAATTGATTGGATTTTGTAGTCTGAATGAACGAGGGAACCAACATGACTCATATGATTGTAATGAATACAGGCTATAGGTACCCTTTGTGGTTCCAATATGTTCCAATCGACTCAACAGGGTTGGCTGCGTTGGCTTTGCTACTTGCATCTCTTACTCCCAAACATGACACTTTGACCCTTTGGTTGTGGCATAGTCAGTGGTTCCAGCCGCTAACCCAGCAAATCTTGTGAGGTGCATGATTGCAAGCTGGTGGAACTAGTTAGCTTAGCCTCTCACCCTTCATTTAAGCGTTGGTCACCGTTCGTGATTCTGAGCCATCGAATAAAGGACGTCCTGCACCCTGTTATCTTCCGAACAAAGGTTATCGACTATCCGTGATCTCGTTGCTCAAGATCTGCTTGCCAATCGTTCCCAAACGTGGCGGCCACCACATGCCATTCATTCCACACCACCATTCCATCAACAAGTACAGCGGTGATTTGTGGGAGGGTACTGTCGCGAGCACATACGATAGCTATACCTGACATCAACTGTTAGGCACGACATAACTATACCCTCTTCCTAGTGGAATTCAAAGGCCCAGACCACCCCACCCGCATCATGTGAAGTGGCACGACATCCTTGTGAAGTGGCAAAGGTTGTTCCTCCAATGTGAAGTGGCAAAGGCACGACATCCTTCCCTCTTCCATCGGAATTCAAAGTGAAGTGGCAAAGTTGATCCTTCACACTGCTGCAGTCTCCACCAGATTCCACTTCCTGGGACGAAGCACGAGACGTCCCTCACCCAGCGAGACGTCCGCTTCGCGCTGCGCTTCCAATTCAGATCCAAGCTGGCGAAGCCAAAGGGGAAAAGCAAAGGAGTGGAAAGCTAAAGACGTGGACCTCTGATGGTTTTTGTGAGCTGTTTTAGCATAATATTTTAAGACTCTATCTATTATACAAACAAATATGGTACTATAGTAGCGCGTGTGTAAATATATAGATATATAAAATGTGTTCAACGCATCCTGAACATATGGCATTGCAAAACATTGCAAGCGTCGCCCCAGGTCACCACGCTCTCATCCTCGCCACAAATGGCTGCAAAGGCCTCGTTGTTCCCTGCGATGCTCCGGACGTCGCGAAGGTCTGCTTGGACGGACTCGGGGATGACACCACCCATCTCCTCAGGTGATACACATCGCACAAGGCCCGACCTGCGGGGTGCTCCATTGACAGCTCTTTGACCTTTAAGGGGCGATTGGCTATTGGTATGATTTATTTAGATTACATATTTATGCATTTAGAATTCTTGTAGGTCCTAGTTAGTTGACAACTATATATTTATACTGATTTATATAAATTAATGTTATAGTCATAGTAGAATAATCTACAGTAGGAGCCTTCTCAGAGATTTCCTGCGACTTCGGCGACCCAATCGGGGTGGTGCAGTGACACCCTGAACCCTCCTTGACCTTTAAGGGGGGCTATTCTATAAACACCCCTTATTGGTGGCTCCTGATGGCTCCTGGCAAATTGGTGGATCTTCAACATCAAAGATGGTGAACCCAGAAAAGCACAACCAAGGGGAGAGCGCCGGGGAGTGCTTAGTCTTGTCACAAGGAAAGTCTGGTGATTTGTCCATGTGGAGCTGTGAATACAAGCCCCCTCACCTGCTGCCCTCAAAACTAAGTCAAATCAACATCTTACACTTTCTCACCCACACAAACAAGACCCAAAGCCTCAGGTGCTCCACCAGTCTAACCTGCTCCACCAGTCTAACCTCGTCCATCTCTTCGTCCAAGTGTCTGGAGACCCCCAACACACCACATCTCCCTCACCCGTGAGCGCTGCAAAGGCATTCCTTGTAGCGTAGACCCTTTGGACGCCGGCCACCTTCAGCCGTTCCGCCACGGCGACCGGCACCACGCCACCGGCACCGGCTTCGCCCCAGGCGCAAAGGGCACCTCAGAGCGATGGCCTTCAGCCTAAAAGCGATGGCCTCCAACCTAACAGCAAGAGGAACCCAATAGTACAGGGCGCCACTGCCTTCGTACCAAAGAACAAAGGCGGCGCGATTCCCCAGCAGCTGCGGCCGCCGTTCCGCGATGGCCAGGACCTCAAGGCCGTTCCGCGAAGGCTACGAGAAGGGCATGGGGGGTTCCGCGCGCATTGGACCGAGCGAGCGCTGGCTTTCGGATCGTTCAACTCCGAGAAGTGTGCCAAGATGTGCTAAGGCTTTCTGATGCTTTCTGAATGAATGAGCACTTGCTTTTCCAAACAATTCGAAGGTACTGGAGGCGTCTGTTTCCACCAAAAGCTTTGGATGATGATGAGTGCCAGATTGCCAAAAAGCACTTTACCGATCTTTATCGTAGTCCCTGACCCTCTGTCAGCCAAGGTGAAAGGCATTGAACCCAAGTTATATACCATTTGAAGATGTCTCTGCCGGAATCACTGCAGTCTGCACTGAAACAGGAAGTGGCAAATCTTGACTGTCAAGATTGATTTGTCCAAGTCACAGTGTCACCATCTTGTAGGCCAGTCTCCTTGACCTCAGGTGGCAACAGGGCACTGGATGGTCAGAAGCGAACTCGTGTCCACCAATGGCTAAACGTGGCATGGAGAAGGTCCGAAGACGTCAACGCCGAGATGTGCCCCAAAACGCTCGTGGCATGGCCGGGGAACGCCGGCAACGGTGGCCTCCTTCGACCGTCGCTTTCGCGATCCGGTGGGATTTCGAGCAGCGGCTGCTGATTCCACTGCGATGATTCGACGTGTCAAAAGGTGCCTTCTGACCTCAAATAGGAGCTCCTTCCATGACATCATTATTATACTTAATGCAATCATCGGCTCTTTGCTACTGGGAGCCACGAGGCCATGCCGAACCGTTCGATTTCGTAAAAACCGGGGGGGGGGGTCCCAGTACGACGGCATACGGCGCAAAAGGGATTCCAAATGAATGACAGAGCCTCTCACACCGGTTAATTAAGGCCCACACACATGGGTTAAAGGCCGAGAGGCCAATCCTCGTGGGTCAAGGAAAGATCCATCCTTGGTTGGCGGACCGTTCACATGGGAAGCGCTTCGCTTCGCTTTTCGGGCGTGTGCTGTGCGTGAGAACCGTGCTGCTTGGAAAGCCATGAAGCCACTGGCTCGGTTGCTTGGTGAGGTAAGCTCTACAACGTGAAAGATTTAAAGCGCTGGAGTCTGAACAAACATACAGTCGAGTGAGAGAGATTGTGCCAAGAGGGCTGGATCATTTTGCTGCCAAGCATGAGCAATAGCATGGATTGAACTACATCGTCCTTGAACCCCCCCAAACACACAAAATACAAACCCGAGATCACTGGAAATATTAAACAAACCAGTGATGTCCTATTTTGGATAGAATAGAACGGTCGATTTGGTACAATACACGTATGCATGGAGACCGCGACCCGGAAGAATAAAACGCCTCATCAACCAACCAAGGGGCCTATAGCGTCCAACCTAACAAATTAGAATTAAATTAATAGCTTCTTGTTACTACTAGTAAGGCACTTGTTACTAGTAGCGTGGCACTTGTTTCTAATAGCTTCTTGTTACTCTCATCTCGGCTTTCTCCCCAAGTCCAGCGCTGTCGTCCGCCGTCGCCCACTGTCCAAGCATCCGCCGCCGTCAGCCGGAGGAAGCGCTTGTCCAGGTTCCGCTGTGCAGCGTCTCGCAGATCCGCCACGCGAGACGTGCTTCTCAACGAGACCGTCGTGGAGGCACCGCTTGGAAGCGAAACCGTGAGAGAGATGAAAGTGAGCTCGGGCACCTTTCTGCATGTCAAAAGGCGGATACTTCTGCAAGAAACCCTTGTAAATCCACAACACACAAAATCCAACATACAGTTTTGGGGGATGAGGAGTTTCTTCAGGACAAACTATGACAGACCCTACAAGGGTGTGTATTTCAATAGGGAGACACCCTGGCTCGCCCTGGCTGGGTAGACTGGTTGATATTCCTTCGGAACGGGGGGGGACCGAATGGGGAGGTCTCCCGATTATCCAACCAAATAAGAAGATCGACGGCTTCACCATCCACGTGAAGGCCTCAGCAGATCTGGAGGCCACCGATGAATACAAGAAACGCTTGTAAGGCTCGTAGGACCTCCTGTCCACACTGCTGCCCGAGCCCATGGCGAGAAACACCGAGGCGAAAGATCACCGGAGGATGTCGCATGGAGAAAACCAGCTTTCGTTGGAGAAAAGAGTGAGTGCATATATATATATATATATTTTTTTTTTAAAATTCTACAGTCTTTCAGAATTGGGTGCAAAAACTCAAAGACAAGCCTGACCTTTATTGCCTTCTACTTGGGTTCAAAGAGGTACCCTGAGAGGCATGGTTCCGTTTGCGCCCACGAATTGGCTCGTTCCAGGGGGCCTATCCTGCAACTGCAAGCGGAAAAGTTTGTGGGGATCAACCCAAACCATGCGATTGCAAAAAAAACACAATGTACAGTCATATACACAACATATCATCACATACCACATCATACCACATACTGTACTGTATACAGTCAGTGAGTGGATGTAGGTCTTTCTTCTTCTTTGATGGCGTGCATGTCCTCCGAGACATGCTCTCCATGACTTGAGCCAACCTGAGACAAAGTTTGCTATGCAATGGCAGAAACTGAAAAGGATCGATTTCACCGGTGGCCCAGAAACAACACCTGTATTTTCAGGTTGTATGTTGATCTATTTTCGCTCTTTGGCCTACAGCCGTGCTTCAGTCATGCCTGCAAGATTCTGACAAGCTGGACCGTCAACTTTGGGACCCCCCATGCAATGGCACCCCAAGCAATCGGATGGGAAAACGCATGAAACAACTCCGGCGGCAGTTGTCATATCATGAACGGTGGCTTCCGGCAGCCTCCAGCTCTTTTTCTGGCAAAGGGCTGGCTGGGCCGCCCCGCCGAGTCTCTGTGTTTCACGTGGTTTCACGCGGTTTCAGGCGGCACGCGACTCGCCTGGGATGAACTCCTGGCCCTCGTGTGAGAAGTTGAGCATGCCATCCAGCCCCAAGTCTGCCAAAGGCGTCCTCAGTGCGACCAAAAACACCTGGACACCGCTGTGTGCTTTTGCTATTGGAGTGGGGGAATGAAAAGGATGAACATTCCTAGCTTGATCCAAATGGTG